AACAACAATCCAACCCAACAGAATGATCAGTAATCTACCTTACCTATCAGTTCTCTGAATAAATGTGAATGGCTAAACTCTCCACTCAAGAGAATAAGCTGCTGAATGGATAAGAAAATACAGCCAATATATGCGTCTCAGGAAAAACATCTAACCTGCAAGAAGCAATAGACTAAAAATAAAAGGGTGGAGATCAATATCCAAGCAAATAGAAGCCAAAAGAAGGCTAGTGTGGCAGTTCTTATTTCAGACGATTTATTTAAACCAACAAAAGTAGTAAAAGACAAAGAGGGGTCATTATATAATGGTGAAGGCACAGTCCAACAAGAAGAGATAAACAATTTAAATAAATATGCACCCAAGTTAGGTGCACCCAGTTCATGAAAGCAACCTTACTGGCATAAGCAAATGGATAATAGCAACTCCATAATCGCCGGAGATTTAACCACCCCACTGACGGCAGGAGACAGATCCTCCAAACAGAAAATAATAAAGAAATCATGACTTAAACAAAAACTCTAGAACAATTGGTCTGACAGACATCTACAGAACATTTACCCAAAAGCCACTGAATATACTTCTTCTCATCAACTCACGAGACATTCTCTAAGATTGACCATATCCTAGACACAAAGAAATCTCAAGAAATTTAAAAAATAGAAATCATACATGTACCTTCAGATCAACAGTAGAATAAAACTAGAAATCAACCCTAACAGAAACTCACATTTTACACAAAAAAGTGGAAAATTAAACAACCTCCTGCTAAATGATTACTTCGTAAATGAAGAATCAAGACAGAAATAAAAATTCTATGAAGAAAACGACAAATGGAGAGACAAGTTATTCAATCCTCTGGAGACACAGCTAAAGCATTCTGAGAGGAAAGTTATCTCCAAAATGCCTATAACCAAAGACAAGAAGATCACAAATAGAACAATCTAATGAAATGACTCAAAGAGCTGGAAAAAAAGAACAGACAACCCAAACCCAGCAGAAGAAGTGAAATCAACAAGATCAAATCAGAACTAAATGAAATTGAAAACAGGAAAGCTATTCAGGAGATTAATAAAACAAAAGTTGGTTCTTTGAAAAAATAAACAAAATTGACACACCACTGGCTAAGCTAACGAAAAGCAGAAAAGAGAATCTCTATAAGTCCATCAGGAATAAAAAAGGAGATATCACAACTGATCCCAAAGAGATACAAGAACATATATGTATATACTACAAATCTTATGCACAACAAACGGAAAATGTGGAGGAAATGGAAAAATTCTAGAAACACACAGCCTCCTAGCTCAACCAGGAAGAAATAGAGTTCCTGAACAGACAATCCAACAGCTGAAATAGAAACAGCAATTAAAATCTCCCTAAAAAGAAAAGTCCCGGTCCAGATCGGCTTCACACCTGAATTTTACCATACTTACAAAGAAGAACTAGTACCTATCTTGCAGAAACTATTCCACAACATCGAGAAGAACGACACCTCCGACACCTTTTATGAAAAGAATATTACTCTGATACCAAAACCAGAAGGAGGATGCAACAAAAAAAGAAAACTACAGACCAATATCCCTAATGAATATAATCGCAAAAATTTCAACAAAATCTTAGCTAACCGAATACAGACACTTATCAAAAAAATAATCCACCACGACCAAGTGGCTTCATCCCAGGGAGCAGGGATGGTTCAACATACGTAAATCTATAAATGCAATTCACCACTAAACAGAAGCAAAACAAAAGACCACATGATTCTTCAATAATGCAGAAAAAGCTTTTGACAAAATAACACCCTTTCAGTGATACGAACACTTAAGAAAATAGGCATAGAAGGGACATACCTAAACATGATACAAGCCATAATATGACAGACCCATAGCCAACATCATACTGAATGGGAAAGATTGAAATCAGTTCCCATTAGAACTGAACCAAAAAAGTCTGCCCACTATCCACTCTCTGCTCAACATAGTGCTGGAAGTCTTGGCTACAGCAATCAGACAGGAAAATGGAATGCAAAGTACCAAATAGGGCAAAGAGATCAAACTTTCACTGTTGCTGATGATAGCGATATTGTATCTAAGAAAACCCAAGGATTCAACCAAGAAACTCCTGGAAGTGATCAAAATGAATTTAGTAAAGTCTCAGAGGATACAAAATCAATACACAGAAATCAGAGGCATTGCATCATACGCCAACAACAATCTAATTGAGAAACCAAATCAAAGACTCAATTCCCTTCACAATAGCAACAAAGAAATTAAAGTAGCCTAGAATATATTTAACCAAAGAGGTAAAAGACCTCTACAGGAGGAACTATGAAACACTGAGGAAGGAAATAGCAGAGGATGTAAACAGATGGAAATCCATACAATGCTCGTGATCGGCAGACTCATATCATCAAAATGTCTATACTACCCAAACGATCTACAGATTCAATGCAATACCATTAAAATCCCATCAGCGATTCTTCACAGATATAGAAAAAATAATTACCTTCGTATGGAACCAAAGAAGACCTCGAATATCAAGAGCAATTCTAGGCAACAAAACAAAATGGGAGCATTATATGCCAGATATCAAAACTATACTACAAAGCTGTAGTAACTAAGACAATATGGTATTGGCACAAAAACAGGAATATTGACCAGTAGAACAGATGTGAGAATCCTGATATAAAACCATCCTCATATAGCCATCTCATCTTTGACAAGCAGACAAAAACATACGCGGGAAAAAGAATCCCTCTTCAAATAATGGTGCTGGCAAAACTGGATAGCCACCGTAGAAGGCTAAACAGACCCACACCTCTCACCTCTCACAAAAACCAACTCACGCTGGATAACAGACTTAAACCTAAGATATAAAACTATTAGAACTCTAGAGGAAAAAGTTGGAAACACTCTCCTAGACATCGGCCTGGGCAAAGAGTTTATGAAGAAGTCCCAAAGGCAACACAGCAGCAACAAAATAAATAAATGGGGCATGATCAAACTACAAAGCTTCTGCACACCAAAGAAATAGTCATGAAAGTAAACAGACGAACCTACAGAATGGGAAAAATTTTGCATCCTATGCATCGATAAGGGACTGATAACTAGAATATACTTAGAACTCACGAAAATAGGAAGAAAAAATCAAATAACCCATTAAAAAGTGGGCAAAGGACTTGAACAGAAATTTTCTAAAGAAGACAGAAGAATGGCCAACAAACATATGAAGAAATGCTCAACATCTTAATCATAAGGGAAATGCAAATCAAAAACCACAATGAGATATCACTTAACCCCAGTGAAATGGCCTTTATCAAAAAACTCCAAACAATAAATGCTGGCGTGTGTTGTGGAGAAGAGAGGAAACACTCCTACCACTGCTGGTGGACTGCAAACTAGTTCAAGCTCTGTGGAAGCAATGGAGATTACCTAAGCGATACAAGTGAAATCTACCATTTGATCCAGCAATCCATTGCTGGGCATCTACCCAAATGATCCAGTGACACTCTACAAAAAGGACACCTGCATCGATGTTTTATAGCAGAACAATTCATAATTGCAAGGCTGTGGAAACAGCCCAAGTGCCCATCAATCCAAGAATGGATTTATAAAATGTGGTATATTTACCATGAGTACTATTCAGCTCTAAGAAACAATGTGGATATAGCACATCTTATATTTTCCTGGTTAGAGCTTGAACCCATACTACTAAGTGAAGTATCCCAAGAATGGAAAAACAAGCACCAGATATATTCTCCAGCAAACTGGTATTAACTGAGTAGCACCTAAGTGGACACATAGGTGCTACAGTAATAGGGTATTGGGCAGGTGGAGGGGGAGGGGGGCGGTATACATACATAATGAGTGAGATGTGCACCATCTGGGGATGGTCATGATGGAACTAACTTTGGGGGGAGGGGAAATGGGCATTTATTGCAAACCTTAAAATCTGTACCCCATAATAGCCAAATAAAAAAAAAAAAGTGGCAAAAGACTGAACAGAAAGTTTTCAAAGAAGACAGAAAGAATGGCAAACAACATATGAAGAAATGCCAACATCTCTAATCATCAAGAAATGCAAATCAAAACCACAAGAGATATCACTTAACCCCAGTGAGAATGGCCTTATCAAAAATCTCCAAACAATAAATGCTTGGCGTGGTGTGGAAGAGAGGAACACTCCTACACTGCTGTGGGACTGCAAACTAGTTCTATACCTCTGTGGAAACAATATGGAGATATCTTAAAGCGATAACAAGTGTAATCTACCATTTGATCCAGCAATCCATTGCTGGGCATCTACCCAAATGATCCATGACACTCTACAAAAGAAAGAACACCTGCACCACGAATGTTTATAGCCAGCACATTCATAATTGCAAGGCTGTGGAAACAGCCCAAGTGCCATATCAATCAAGGAATGGATTAAAAAATGTGGTATATGTATACCAGAGTACTATTTAGCTCTAAGAAACAATGGTGATATAGCACATCTTATATTTCCTGGTTAGAGCTGGAACCCATACTACTAAGTGAAGTATCCCAAGAATGAAAAACAAGCACCAGATATTATCTCCAGCAAACTGGTATTACTGAGTAGCACCAAGTGGACACATAGGTCACAGTAATAGGTATTGGCAGGTGGCAGGGGGGGGACTAATACAATAGCATAATGAGTGAGATGTGCCACATGCTGGGTAACCATCTGGGGGATGGTCATGATGGAGACTCAGACTTTTGGGGGGAGGGGGGGAAATGGGCATTTATTGAAACCTTAAAATCTGTATCCCCATAATATGCCAAAATTAAAAAAAAATTAAAAAAAAATAAAATCAATAGCCAAAACTTCTACCATAGGAAACTAAAGAAAAAAGAGCAAGTTAAATTTAAAGTAATTTAAGAGGACCCCATCTTCCTTCTCACACACCTGCCTCTTCCATTCTTCCTCCCTCCCCACTATCACAGAACACACAGAGACTCATCATTTGACAAGTGGTTGATTTATTTTCATCACAGTTATGTACCCAGTTAGTGTGAAATTTGCCGTCCTCAAGGTTGGCCATTCCCAGTGTCCAGACCTCCAGAGACTTTTCAGATAGGTCTGAGGTCATTGGCCTCACTCTGAAGTTACTGGCTGCTGAGGGTGACACTTGAGGTGGTGGAGCTCCCCCCCCCCCTGCTCTCTGGGGCCTGATCTGGCTCATTTTGACTGAGCTCCTCGTTCAGCCGGTGATAATGGCCAAATAGAGTCAGCCCTCTTCTCTTCTTAGGTTTAATTGAAGGGGTGGTCATTTGGGGAGAAGTCTTTCTCCTCCAAGTCCCTCCAAGGGGTCCTTTTGCCTTCCTGGTTACCTTGGGCACCTGCAAGGACAACAGGGAGATCACAGAAGAGCAATGGTTTGGAGGAAGAGGGTGGAGGGGGTGGGAGCTTGGGAAGGGGTGTGGGCTGAGGAGGGTTTGTGCCAGGCGAGGGCAGGAGAGGAGTCTGGGGGGAGGACTCGACGGGAAGGCAGGGAGGAGCTTGGGTGGGTCGCTCACCTTGAAGCTGCCTCTGGACCTGGGTTGACGAGGAGCCTTCCTCTTCTTCCCCACTTTGACGTTTGCAGTTCGTTGTTTAATGCCTGTGCCGGGAGAGGCTTGTGGTTTCCTCCTGGTCATCTTCGCCATGTCAGCGCTTCCCAGTGGTCTACCCAGGCCTCCTGACCTCTGTATATATACTTTCCCCAGGATAGGGCCCGGACATGCCCCTGAGCTTTGTTTGGTCACCGAGACACTACCCAGCCAATGGGAGCCATGGGGGGAGGGGCTTTGACATCCGAAAGCACCATCAGGACATTTTCATGGGGAGTGGGAATCTGATGAGGAGGCCAGGATTGGTTGGAAAAAAAAAAAGGGGCGTTTTTTTAGTACTCCCAAAAAGCAGTCCCAAACTGATTAGCACAGCTCTTTTCCTGCCACGTTCAACTTCAGTGGGGCACATGGCAGGGAGAGGGTATTTCGTTCAAGGTTTTTCCCAAAGTCCCCCCCGCCCCATTTCAGTGGTTCATTCTGTTCTCTCCCACCAATCACCATTACCTAGCTTTTCTTTGTTTTACCAGAAATTTCTCCACTGTATGTACTATGGCTGCATTTAAGTCTACATGAATATGTCAGTCATTCCCATTTCTCTCCTAAAATATGTATGCACCTTGAAAACCACTCATTTCTTGGCTACTACCAGGGAACTTTTCCATCCCACTTCCTTTTCCTAGTGTCCACAGAGGTCCCTTTAGGTTCCTGCTTTCCAGTCTGAAATCACTGCCTTCAGGCTGTCAGACTTCAGTAAAAAAAACTTGCTCCATTCGGCATCTATCTTATTAGCCCTGTTTCAGCTGTGAAGTCATGCTCATCTCAGTAGATTCAGTACTCAGGCTTCAGTTTTAACAGCGTAGGATGAATGAGACAGATATTCATGTGCCAGAAGTTATGTGGGATGTTTGCACATAGGAAATTACAACCTAAGACTGATAAGTTCATGGAACAGGTTGGAGTTGGATAGGATTGTTCAACATTGTAGTTGAGGTTCCGTCCAGTGTAACAAGTTAAAAAGAGGCCTCTGAATTGGAAAGGGAGAGGTAAAATTATATTTATTTACAGGAAACATGAATGTATGCAGACAATTCTATCAATCTAAAAAATGCTTCTAGAACTAATCATTGAGTTTAGCAATGTCACTGGATAGAAGATTATTATATTTTTACTTTTATAGCAGCAAGGAGCAGTTGAAAATTGAAAGAAAAACATACTATTTAAAAAATAGCATTAGAACATATGAATTAAAAGTGATAAATATGGCAAAATATGTAGATATGCCCAACTATAAAACATTACAGAGATAAATTAATGAAGATATAAATAAATAGAGATATGAACTTTGTTCATGAGTCCGAAAACTGAATCCTAAGATGTCAATTCTCCCCAAATTCAATGATAGATCAATGCAATCCAAATCAAAATTCCAGAATGTTTTGTTTTTTTTTTTACAGAAATTTGGAGGCTGATTCTAACATTCTTATAGAAGTGCAATGGACCTAGAAAGACCTATCCAAAGAAAACTTTCAAAAATAGAACAAAGTTGGAGGGGCTACCCTACTTCATTTCAAGGCTTATAAACTAACAATAATCAGGATAGTGTAGTATTGGCACAATTACAGAAATACATCAATGTAAAAGAATGAAGTCCAGGAAAGGATCCACATGCATATATATTTATAGACAAGTAATGATTAATAAAGATGCAAATGAAGATCAGAGGAGAGAAAAGATAGTATTTTTGGTAACTGGGTCTGGAACAATTGGCTGTCCATACACAAAAACTGAATTTCAATCCCTATTTCTCTCTCCATCTACCTAAAGGGAATGAGAAAGAAAGATATTTTAAGGAATTGGCTCAAGTGATTATGAGGTCTGGTACAAATGAATCTGTAGGGCAGGCCATCAGGCTGGAAATTAACACAAACATTTTTATATTACAGCCTTGCAGCAGAATTCCTTCACCAGGAAACCTCAGTCTTTGCTCTTAAGATCTTCAACTGATTGAATGAGACCCACTCACATTATGGAGGATAATCTGCTTTATTTAAAGTTAACTGATTGTAAATGTTGAACACATCTACAAAATACCTCCAGAGCAATATCTAGACTAGTGTTTGATCACACAACTGAATACTAAACCCCAGATAAGTTGAAACATAACACTAACCATCACACATACCTTGGACCATATAAAAATGTAGCTCAAAAGGAATCACAGGCCTAAATGTGAAAATTAATTTTTTGTAGGAGAAAATAGAAGAAAAAATTTGTAACCTTGGGTTATGTCTAGTGGGCTGCCATAACAAAATGCCATAGACTGAGTGGCTGAAACAACATAAATTTATTTTTTCACAGTTTTGGAGGCAAGAAGGCACAGATAAAGGTCTGGTAGGGTCAGTTTCTGGTGAGGGCTTTATTTCATGTTTGTAGATGGCTGTTACTCATTATGTCCTTTTATGGTATTTTCTCAGTGCAGGCACATGGAGAGAAAGAGAGAGGGGGAGAGGAGAGAGAGCAAGAGCGTGCACAACAGTATGCACACTCACACAAGAGCAGTCTCTTGTGTTTCTTCTCATGAGGACGCTAATCCCATTAGATCAATGCCCCACCCTTATGATCTTATTTAACCTTAATTACTTTCTTAGAGACTCCATCTCCAAATACAGCCACACTGGGGGTTAAGGCTTCAAAATATGAATTTGGTGGAGGATATAAGCATTGGCAAAGAATAGACACATAGATTAATGACACACACTAGAGCCCAGAAATAGACTTGTGTACAGATAGTCAGGTGATTTACAACAAAGGAACAAAGGAAATAATGGTGAAAGTACAGTCTCTCCAACAAATGAGGCCCAAACAATTGGAAAACCATATGCAAATAATAATAATAATAATGATAATCTAGACAAGCTCTTGCATACTTCACAAAATAACTAAAAATACATCATAGATTTAATGTAAAATGCAAAAACTATAAAACTTCTGTAAGAAAACATAAGAGAAAATCTACATATCTTTGAGTTTGGCAATGAGTTTTTAAATTCAACAAAAGAAAAATTTGCCAAGTTGGACTTTATTAAAATAAAAATCTTACACTCTTCAAAAGACACTGTTAAGAAAATGGAAACAAAAGCCACAGAGTAGGAGAAAACATCTGCAGTACACATATGTGATAAAGGACTTGCCTCTTAAGTCTCAACAATAGAAAATAACCCAACCAAAAAATAGGTAAATTATTTGAATAAACATTTTACCAAACAAGAGATACAGATGGAAAATAAACATATTAAAAATGCTAAAAAAAAATCTGTTATCAGGAGGTGGGCAGGTGGAAGGGGGGAGGAAGGGAAGCGTATGTACTTACACAGTGGGTGTGGTGCGCACCACCTGGAGGCTGGACATGCTAGAAGCTCTGGCAGAGCAGGGTAGGGGCGGGGAGGCCAGGGCAAGATATGTAAGCCTAACAATATTTGTACCCCCATAATATGAGGTAATAAAAAATAATAATTGTCCTTAGTAACTTGAAAAAATGCTAAACATCTTTTGTCATTAAATAATTGCATACTAAAATGAGATGCCACTACACACCTATTTAAATGTCTAAAATTCAACAAAACTTACAAGACCAACTGCTGGTGAAGATGTGGAACAACAGAAACTCTCATTCATTGATGATGGAAATGCAAAATGGTACAGCTATTTTGGAAGACAGATTGGTCATATAGCATTTATTGACACTTATTTAGTTTGTCATTTTTTAAAAAAAACTGAACATAGTCTTATCATAAGATCCAACAATCATACTCCCAGGTATTTATCCAACTGACTTGAAAACTTATGTCTACATAAAAGCTTGCATGTGAATGTATATAACAGCTTATTTCATAATCACCAAACTGGAAGCAACCATGATATACATCATTAGGTGAATGGATAAACAAGCCATGGGACAACCATACAATGAAATACTATTCATCAATAAAAAGGAATAAATTACAAGTCACACAAATACATGGATGAGTCTTCAATGCATATTGACAAGTGAAACAAGCCAGTCTGAAAAGGCTAGATAGTATATGATTCCATTTATATGACATTCTGGAAAAGGCAAAATTATGGCGATCCGAGGATAGAATGCAGAATGTTACACACAAAAAAATAACCATATTATAAATGTATGAAACAATCCCAGTGAAGCAGGTAAGGGAAGAAGTTACTGACTTAAGAAATGTTGGAAATGAGTGAAATCTGTAAGACTAAAGGGACTACACATAAACACTGCACTCTAACTTATACAGTTGTTTCCAATGAGGGTACAGGGGTATAGGTTAACAGATCTGAATCTATTATTCATTTAACTGGAATTGAACTATTAATTAAATGGATGGGAGATGGTGGGAGCTAAATTTCTCACTGATGGAGTGGGAGACTATAGATAAGCAAGGAAAGGAGGCTAAAATGATCCTTGTGGTAATGGATTACAGCTGGGGACATCAGTATAAAGTTATGTGCAATTTAATAAAGAAACAGATGTTTCCATATATAAATTTAACAGACATGTGTATACATGTTATATACACACATATATTTCATTGTTCTGTCAGCAGAGAAGACCTATAACTAACTACCCAGTAGCAATGAGCACACCAAGCACCAAGATGTAGATTTTAGAACCATTTCCCAATAAAAGAAACTAGATCTCTTTTGAGAAATGGGTGATTTTAGGATCGGGGAAGGGCACATGATGAGCCTGGAGTATCTTGTAGCCCTCAAAATTAAGAGCCAAAGAATATGTTAAAGGACACCACAGTGTTGCATTCAGCAAATCCAGAGTATGGGAAACTGGAAAGAACACAGTTACAAGGAAAAAGAGGTCATTTGGGGAGAACCTACAGATTAAAAAAGACTTAAAGAGCATAATAAAAAATTATTATATAATATATTATATATTTGGATACTCATCCAAAGAAACAAAGTTTTTTAAAAAGTAAGAGTCTGTTGGATAACTGTGTAAAGTAGTTGGACATTTAACAATCATTTAATGTTTTAGAAATGGTAACTATATTGAGTTTATGTTGGATTTTAAAAGTCCTTATCTTTTAAAAATACATATTGAAATATTTAAAGAAGAAATGACATGATGCCTTGGATTTGCTCCACCTTATTTCAGCAACTGTGATGTAGGTAGGGGGAGTCTAACTGGAAGCAGATTTTCCATGTATTTAAGGTTGTTGACACTGAGTATCAGGTATACTGAATTAGTTGTATTATTGTCTGTATTATTGTATTTTTTTGAGGCTTTCTGTAATAAAAAGTTTTTATTATAAATATCATGCCATTAAAAGTGAAATCCTAAGTGAAATTGACCACATTTTAGAAATTAAATAAGTGACCAAGTTAATCCAAAAAGAAAAAACTTTAATGGAACTATACAAACTGAAGCTGCACAGTATTCAAAGTTCAAGCTACTTTCAAATGTTTTAGGACATAGCACTTTGGGAGGCCAGTTTTACCAAATGGTCAAAGAAAATTAACCACCATCTTATCTCAACTCTGTCAAAGAATACAAAAAGATAGGCAATTATTCAACTCATTCTACAAGACTATCTCTTCTGCATTCCAAAAACCAACGAGGACCTCCCCTCCCGTGAAAAGAGCACTTGAGGCAAGCCCACTCACATAGCAGCAATTATTCCACCTAAATTAGTAGCATTCTACCGTAGTAGGGAATTAAATGAACAAGCAGACTTTGCCCAAGGAACAAAAATATGACTTAACATTAGGGGGAAAACAGTCCCATTGTAATCCCTTACATGTAAAATAGAGAAGAAAAAAAAATTGATCCTGTCAATGGGTACAGAAAAAGCTTCTGAAGGAAATTCCACGTGAGTTCATGGTAAAAACATTCAGTTAACTAATACTCAAATAGAACTTCAATTTCCTAAAATCAACAGCAAACATATTTAAATGCAAAATGTTAGAAAAATCATCATTAAAGTCAGGAACAAAATGTAGACCTATGCTTTTATCTCTACATTTCAAAACAGTACTGAGACACAAAATCAGAGCTATGCACATAAAAAAAATAAATGAGGGGTATGAATATTGGAAAAATGTAATGTTTAGTAACAATATCATTATCTATCTTGAAAATTCGAAAAATAGACATGTAGAATATTCAAGTGAATGAGAGTTCAGAACCAGGTGTACAACATATTGCTAAAGCAAAATCAAAATCTCTGCTACATAAAAGCAGTAACTAACTAGAACAATTAACAGATAATTTGCCATTTACAATAGCAACAAATTTCAAGAACTATCTAAAAAGAAGCCTACGAAAAATGTATACGGTCTTTAGAGACAACTATAAAAGTGTCCTGATAGATTCAGGTAAAAGGAGTTTGAAATAAATAGAGCAGCATAACATATTCATTGATAGGGAACACAGCATTATAAAAATGTCAATTCTCCTTAAATTATTGCCAATTTAGTGTCTTACCTGTAACTGCTTAAGTGACAATCAAGTGCAGGCTGCTGTCTTCTGCTCCCAAAATCAACCCTAGAAATCTATAGAAGGGAAAAAGAAAGAATAAATATCAGCAAAAAAAAAAAAAAAATCAAAATAACATTACATGAGAAAGCCCTAGGGAAAACTGAAGACTGTATTGAACTGGTACCTGTGTTTGGGGTGTGGGGAGCAACAGGGAAATTGGGGATGTCTGTAGCCTGCACAGAAGGCAGATGACAGGATGGGTAAGAGGAAAGTTTAAAACTTCTTCCCCCCCTCCCAGCTTCATTGCACAATCTGAGGCAGCACCTCACACCTCCAATGACAATAGCCCTGGGGTAATATGAGAACAGCAAGAAAGTTGGATTGATTGAGGCAGTACGGCTCCAGAGTCCTACTAATAATCACCTGAAAGAGCCTTAGTGGGTGAGGACTGGCCTTCCAAAAAAAATTGTTCCAATAGATCATAAAGAATGGAATAGAAGTAGAATAGAATATAGGAGTGAATGATGCATACGAAGGATATTCTTTCACAGAAAAAAATATCGCTACTTATGTATTTACATAGAAGATACATAAAGCATATTTCTTCGATGTATAAAATAAATCCTTTAGAACACAAGGTTTCAAAGTCTACTGTGGCCGGGGAAGAGCCCGGCGGGAAGGTGCCCGTCTTGTCCCACAGGCCACTGCAATCCCGGGCGCTGCAGCCCCCACCCGACATCCGGCCTGGGACCCGCAGACATTCTCGGCAAGGGCTGCAGCTGAGCCCATGCTCAGGGGTGGCGGGGACAGGGACCTCCCGCCGGGCACTTAATCAAAGAACAGGGAACCACGATGAGGACCCTCAGGAGTGAGGACAGAGGGTCCACACGCCCCACAGAGAGGGCCCACAGGGTCCTGCTCGGCTCCTGCTGGCAGCCCTGGGACACCCGGCATGTCCCCCGCCTGACCACTGCCCCCAACGACCACCTCAGGTGACTCCGGGAGTCAGAGCCTCGTGAGACCCGAGGCCCTGTCAGGTCCAGAGAAGGCGGGGCCCCGGCTCTGCCAGGCATCAGGGGCGGGACCCTGAGGGAGACTGAGGCCTCCCACCACCAATCCCGTTCCACCCCTGCTGTCAGCCCTGGGAAACCCATTATATCGGGCCCAGGATGTGACGTCCACCGACTTCCGCCTGGGGGGATGACAGAGGCGAGGCCTTTGGTGTGAGATCCAGACTTCAGGTGCTCAGAGGTGAGAGGGCCGAGGTTCTGTTAGGAGAGAGGTGAGACGCTGAGGGAGGACTGAGGAGGCCCCACCCCAGGTAGAGGGTCCCCAAATAATCCAGCTCCCCGCCTGCTGTCAGCGGTGGACCACCCCCGCGACAGACGCCTCAGGCTGAGCCCCTCCCCCAGCTTATTCCTCAGAGGACTCTGGGGGTCAGAGCCTGGTGTGACCCAGGCCGACTACGGTCCATAGAGGGGGGATCCAGGCTGGGCCACATCCCGATAGGGGGCCCCACAGTCCATCCTTGCCTGGCTGTCAGCCCTGGGAAGCCCCTGGTATGGGCCCGGATGTGACATACACCGACGTCCGCCAGGGGGCTGACTGAGACGACACCATTGGTCTGAGGGGCGGACTTCTGATCTGTGGACCATGAGGAGAGGGCCCAGGCTCTGTTAGGAGAGAGGTGAGACACTGAGGGTGGACTGAGGGGGCCCTGACCCCAGATAGAGGGTCTACAAATAATCCAGCTTTGCCCCTGCTGTCTGCCCTGGATAACTCAGGGGCAGACCTGTCAGGCTGAGTCCCTCCCCTTAGGATTTAGAGGACTCTGGGAGTCAGAGCCTGCTGTGAGCTGGGGCTGACTCAAGGCCATACAGGGTGGGGGTCCAGGCTCTTCCAGGCATCAAGGTCATGGCCCAGAGTGGGGACTGAGGGACTCCCCACCAAAGAACAAATGAGACCCTGGGAGCCCTCAGGCAGGCCTGCTCTGTCCCCAAATTGTTTCCAGCTCTGAATCTCAGGAGGTAAGGGCTTTGGTGGAAGGGTGCTGGACTCAAGACAGCAGAGGGAGGTGTCTCTGGTCTTTTTATTAGTCATGCTGAGGAAGCTCAGGGAAGATAGAGGGGCCCCCAGACACTCTGCCATTGCTATCAGCCCTAGAAGGCTCCATGTAAGGATGGCTTGATAGCCCAGAATGGCAGCCTCTGACATTTGCCTGGAGGATGGAGTCTGAAGGAGATGAGGGCCTTGATTCCATGGGGCCAGGCTCAGCTCTGCACAGGGGAGTCTCAGGACCTGTTAAGGGTCAAGGTGAAGCCCCTGAGGGAGGGCTGAGAGGACCCTGGAATCCAAATCAGAGGCTCCTCACCCAGTATCTTGTGACTCTGATGCCAGTCCTGGAAGACCAAGGTTGGAGTGGGGAGTGGAGGAGGGGGATGGATGTGAGGTTTCCTAACTTCCACTTTAGGAAACTGAGGGAGGAGAGGCTTCAGCATAGAAAGCCAAACTGAGGTCAGCAGAGGGAGGAGTCCCAGACTCTAATAGGCATCAGGCTCAGGATCCTGAGGGAAGACTGAGGGGACTCCCTACACCAGAACATACTAGACCCTTGGAAGGGAAGGGAGCATAACTAGACCCTTGGTCTTCTGTCAGCCATACATGACTTGAAGCATGGTGTCTGCCTGTGAATCAGCCCCCTCATTTCCATGTCCCGGAACAGATGGACCCACTGAATTTGGTCACTTCTTGGCATCTTTCCTGGGAGGCCCCGAGCAGCTGTGGCCAGCTGTGGGGCCCACTCTGCCTTCTGCTCCATATCAGGGATGTGACCTCTTGCTCTGATAGTTTCTCAGGCCAGCAGAGGGGTGGGCTCTAGGGCCCTCCAGGTGAAAGGTGAGAGCCCTAAGTGAGCATGGAGGGGACCATGCACCCCAGAACACTGGAAACCTCACAGAGCCAGGTACGCCCTCCTGACAGCACTGGGGGAACCAGGGCTGTGTGTGTATCTGCAGCATAAGGGCCCCTCACTTCCTCTTACAGGGGCTTCAGGAACCCACTGTGAGACCTTGGGTTGAGGCAGTGTCCTCAGGTCACTGAGCAGAGGAGGCCTAAGCAGTGCCAGAAGTCAAGGTGAGGTGCACACCCTGAATGTGTACCAGAGGCCCTGCCCTCCCCAGCACACAGGGGACCCCACAGTGCTCAGCCCCTCCTGCCCACTGTCAGCCCTGGATCCTCATGCTCTGTAGGCTGCTGCCCCTGAGGACCCATCTCACTTCCTCGTTCAGGTGCTTAGAGGACAGGCCAACCAGGAGGACAGGAGCTCAGGGAGGAGAAGGCTTGTAGGACAAGCCTTTGTTAGAGCCTCCCAGGGTATGGTTCTCATTGAGTCCACTGACATGCTTCCTTTATTCCCAGGCCTGTGGCTCCCCATCACCCAGCTCCTGCCCACGCTCCTACTTGCTACTCAGACCAGACCCATCATGTCTCGTTGCTATGGTTGGAGAAATCAGCCCTGTAGGCCTGTGAAAGGCCTTCAGGTCCACAGAAAGGCACCAGGCCTTGTGGATGCACAGGCTCTGGTAGCTCAGGAGGAGGATACCACATCTTTCTTTCCCTTCTGTTTCCCGTCCTCCTTTCCCTCTGCCTCCTGTTATTCTCTGATCCTGGGCATCACAAACAAGGTTTCTGCTGCTGGGATGCTGAGTCCTCCCCAGGGTCCTCATAGAGCCTGCTCCTGCCCCACTTCCATCAAAGCTACTCCATCAATCAAATCAGATCAGAGCTCCAGCAGGCAACAAGAGGAGGGCCCAAGCACCTTGCAGGCCCAGCCAGATGGCAAGTCCTTGATTAGAGATGTTACAGATGACAAGGTGGCTCATTTGGTTCTTTTCCTGCTCCTTAAGTATCGAACCAAGGAGCCAATAACAAAGACAGAAATGCTGAATAGTGTTATCAAAGATTACAAAGATAACTTCCCTGTGATCTTCAGTGAAGCCTCTGAGTGCATGCAATTGGTCTTTGGCATTGATGTGAAGGAAGTGGACCCTGTTGGGCACTCCTATGTCCTTGTCACTGCCCTGGGCCTCACCTACGATGGGATGCTGAATGATTTCCAGAGCATGCCCAAGACTGGCCTCCTGATAAATATCCTGGGTGTCATCTTCTTGGAGGGCGATTGTGCCCCAGAGGAGGTCATCTGGGAAGTGCTGGGTGTGATGGGGGTGCGTGCTGGGAGTGAGCACTTCATCTATGGGGAGCCCCGGAAGCTCATCACCCAGGATTGGGTGCAGGAAGGGTACCTGGAGTACCGGCAGGTGCCTGACAGTGATCCCACGTGCTATGAGTTCCTGTGGGGTCCGAGGGCTCACGCTGAAACCAGCAAGATGAAAGTCCTGGAGTTTTTGGCTAAGGGCAATGATATCATCCCCAATGCCTTTCTTATCTGGTATAAGGAGGCTGTGAGACATGAGGGAAAGGGCAGCCAAGCGAGAGTTGTAGTCAGAGCCAATTGGGGTCCCAGGGCCAGTGCATGTTCCAGGGCCACATCCAGAAGTCTCTGTCCCAAGCGAAGTCTGAGGCAGATTCTTAACTCTTTGTTTGGAGAGAGCAGTCACTGTTATAAGCAGTGAAGAGGCAAGGTGGGGCTTGGGATATAATATCTTTGAGTATAACATCTTGAATGTATGACATTGTTATGTTAGTGTTCAATATGGGCGACTTGGAAATTATTTTTTTTTCTTTTTGGTGTTTTTGAAGTATTCCTTTTAATGGAAAGTTTAATTAACTTCAAGTTCTAGGTTTACAAATGGCACTGCTCACAAATATATTGCTGCTTATCCAGTTTAAAAGTTTTCATGTTATAGGCCGGGCGTGGTGGCTCACGCCTGTAATCCTAGCACTTTGGGAGGCCGAGGCGGGCGGATTGCTCAAGGTCAGGAGTTCAGAACCAGCCTGAGCGAGACCCCGTCTCTACCAAAAATAGAAATAAATTAATTGACCAACTAAAAATATATATACAAAAAATTAGCCGGGCATGGTGGCGCATGCCTGTAGTCCCAGCTACTCAGGAGGCTGAGGCAGTAGGATCGCTTAGCCCCAGAGATTGAGGTTGCTGTGAGCCAGGATGACGCCACGGCACTCACTCTAGCCTGGGCAACAAAGTGAGACTCTGTCTCAAAAAAAAAAAAAAAAAAAAAAGTTTTCATGTTATGTAATACACATTGGGAAATCTTCCATTTTATTTTGTGATCTGGGACAAGATAACATGGCATTGAAATAGAAGCTTCCTTGGAAATGTGAAACAAGTCAGAAGTAAAATAGATGGGATAAAGGAATAAGAAAAAACTAAGAGAGTTAATTCTTACCTCCCCTTATCTTTTTAGTGTGTCATTCTGTAAAATTAAAAGATATATACCTGGCTATGCTTGGCTTATTTAAGATTATAGGAGAAATTAAATCTTAATAAATAATATCCACTGCTCACTGGCTCATTTCTTCCCCTAACATTCACTGAGCATCTGCTCTATAATTACTAGAATAAGCCAGACCCTTTCCCCCCACCGATAGGATGGTAGAGTCCAGGAGCTGCAGTCGCATAACAAAGGTGGTGGTGACATGTCCTCTAAGTCCTAGAGTAAAAGGAAGAGGGTGAGGGTATGGGGCTCTAGGAGAGAGCAGTCCTGCATGAATACCCTGAGCCAGGGCAGTTTGGGGCTTTGGGAAACTGTAGTTCCTTCTGTGGGAGTTGGTTGTAATGAAGCTGGGTGGTGGCAGGGTCAGACTCTCAGACCATGTGACTCATGACTTATGGTTGAGAGCAAAGCCAGGAATGGAAAACTGCCCTGAGTAGTTCCTTCTGGATGGTGAGTGAAGCAGAGAGGAATCTCTCCATGGGGCAGGTGTGGAAGGTGTCCTGTGCTCTTGTCCCACTGCTACTAAACACAGTGCAAAAACCAGGTGATTGATACTCATGCTCTGCAAGGATTTTCATGAACAAATAGTGATATTTCTTTGAAATGGTGCCTGGAAGCCTCTAAACTGACACGCTTTTCCGTGGCCCAGGAGAGCCAGAGCAAACTCCATTAGAATATATTAATTAGGTCACCTTTAGTGTAATTTGGACAACTCTTAGCAAGGGCTAGAATTCAGGTGCCAGTGAAAATCATGGTTTGGGAGAAAAAGCAGCTGAGAGGGAGAGAAAGATTGGTCTTTGACTCAAATTCTAGGAATTTGACCTGCATCCAGCTGGGGAAAACTCCACACTCATATTAAATAATAGATTCTCTAGGAGTGAAACTTCACTGAGTTTTATTTACAAAGCAACATTTTTGATTGATTTGATATTCTGTGTCCTCTTGCATTGTGTATTCTCAGATCTGAAAAAGAAAAACACATTTTCCAGAGCAGAAGGTGGTAGGGTTTGAGGGTAAAATAATATTATTATAGAAATAACTGCCAATCATTAAAGATTCAGCATATGCCAAGCTCTGGGCCAGGTGCTTTACATATGTTGCACACATTCCAACAGTCCTACTGGACAAGGCTATCAAACCCACTTTACAGGTGAAGAATCCCATGTTCACAAGGTTTGGTCAAGTCCCAGGATCACATGACTAGTAAGTGATGGGGCTCAGACTACACGACTGGCCTGAATTCTCCAGAGCTCATACTGTTCCCACTCTTCCCAGCCTGAGGCCGACCCCCTGGTTCCACTTCATTTCTCTACTCAGCACTGCATCATATCCCTCAGGTGCAAAAAGAGGGACCCTGAACCCAAGGTACTGAAGGCAGGTATAAAGGAGGTAACAGTGAGAATCAAACTCCACTGGGAGTTCCTGTAGTTAGTTCCTTGAGAGCTGACTGTGCCCAGGTGTGAACATTTCTGTCTAGTCCCACATTACAGTGTGTTTCCCCTGGTGGCCCTCATATGTGCTTTCCAACTCTGGAACCTCACCTGCTGACCATCTTGTCGCTGGTCCCCATGGAACAGCCTGGAATCACCTGACTTCCTTCAGAAAAAGAGCATTTCTTCTCCTTTCAGAAGTCTTCTGACTGTCCCATCCCTCCTGCAGAAAACCCTATGATATCAACAACCCTTTTGACATGAAAATTCACATAGGGACAGTACCTTTTAAACACCTAGTTACCTGTCTGGTTTTCCAAATGGGCTGTGAGTAGAGTCTGATTTGGCATATTATCTATTTGTTCCTGGGATATAGCCCTGAAGTTAGAGGGGTTTGAAACCACCTTAATATTTGAAATCAGATTTCAACAGGGTGCCTTATTTGGAACTCACCTATGACCACATACATAGATGAATGGTCAAAAACCAAAGCCCCCCTCATGAGTATTAGTTGAGGAAAGACTTTGGAAATCACCATGAGACAAACATCTACTGAGGCTGAATTCCTAAATGTCTAAAGTTCCCCAGGAAATTCCTAAATGTCTCAAGTCCCCCAGGAGGTGAAAAATGATTCCTTGGAAGACATGTCAGCTTTGATGAAAAAATAATAACCAGCCAGCCATCCAATCCCTCCTGTCTGGCACCTGCCCTGCAAGAAAAGACTGGCTTTTAGCTCTCCTGATAGCACTTGTACGGGTGTTCAGGCAAGTTTAGTCATGTGGAGGAGAGCAGGGACTCTTAGGTTAGGATTTTGCCACAGCATCCAATGGAATGGGAAATCCTCAGCCTCCTGAGATTATAAAGGTTGTTGGAAAGGGAAGTATAGAAAAATGCTATTGGGTGAAGAAGGTGAAACCTCCCTGCTAAAACGTACAGAATCATTTGAAAATTAGATATCATCCTGTGATTGAAAGCACCTGTCACACAGTAGATGTTTGAAAATTTGGAGAACTTCAAGGCAAATTTGGCCTTCTCAGAAAATTTTCCTAGAAATGAGAAATATTGTGTCACAACAAGTTATAATCATTGCTTTCTGTTGAGTGCCTGCTATGTAACAGTTTATGGGAGAGACTATAGTACTCATCCACATCTTCTCTTTCTTTCCTTCCTGGACACATGGGAAGAGTACAGTCCATTTGTGGTGAAAAAGGGTCATGTGACTACTCTTTTTCATTGAATTATGAGCAGAAGCGTTGTTTGTCCCATTCAGGTGTTTGAGAGCCAGTACACCATTTCCATTGCTTTCTCTGTCCATTTAACAGCAAACAAGATGACTCCACATGAGATGGGAGAATCACAAGGAGGAAACAGCCTAGACCCCTGGGTCACCTGAGAGCAGAAAGCCCTTGCCAAGTTGCATCAGCATTTATGTGCATATAAAATAAATTTTTGTTGTGTTAAGCCATGCAAATTTCAGGTTTTATTTGTCGCATCATTTAGTAATTTTAACTACTATTCTATTTCTGTGATTACGTCTATATAAACATTTTGATTAAAAAGGTAGTACTGTGCATATTCTTATTGCAAAAGATTCTAAAAATACACATTTTAATAAATCACAACTTTAACCTTTACAAAGTTCCTTCATGGTTCAGCCCCCTCATCAGAGGGTGTCACAATTAACAATCTGGTGTGTATTATTTTAAAGCTGACTCAAGGATTTTCATTGATAGATATACTATAAAAATATATTGTTTTTATTGAATACACCTGAATAATGATGTACATGTTGATCTGATACTAGACGTTGTCACTTCATAAAGTGGATACAGCATCATCCCATGACAGTGCATATAGATCTACCTCACTTTTGAAAGTACTTTCTAGAATTCTACCACAGGTATACATGCACCATAATTAATCAAACTATTTCTTCCTATGATACATATGTTTCCCATTTGCTGTATCATGAATAGAATGAAATCAACATATTTAAATGAACTTTTGGGCAAACATGAATGTTTTATTATAAGAAAGACAATAACATGGACATTGGGTTAAAATGAAGAGTGTAAATAGTTTAACATTTTAAAAGTATTTCTAAAATTTTATTCCAAAAATGCTGTACCAATTCACATTCTGAAAAATCATAAATGATTTAAAATTCTGAAATGTCAACATGCCTTTTCCTTTAGAGAAGGAAAGATTTGGTCAGAGTGACCAGGAGCCAGGGAAGGAGAGCAGACAGGACACCTCAGTGAGTGAGGGGTGTTGGGGGAATCTGGAGGAGAGCGGTGGCCAGAATCCAGGAGAGAGACCACGTGCAAAGCCACGGCCACAGAGCCCCAGGCAGGCCGACACTCAGAGCTCTGCCTTCAGAGCTCAGCCCGGTGGGAAGAACCAGAGGGAGGGAAGGTGCAGGGAGGAGAAAGGATAGGACAAGGCACATGAATGGGCTTGGGAAATCTGGGACCCATCTCTCGTCCCCAGCTGGAAGCTGCAGTGTGATCCAAGTGGGCAGGCCTGTTGGGTGGACACAGACACCCCAGCCCCCTTTGAAGCCCCCAGCTCTGTCGGGAAGAGCATAGCTGGCTCCCTGCATCATTCTGGGTGAGTTCCCTGAAGTCCCCTGACCCCTCTAGTGGTCCAGTGCATCCTTGCCAGGGTCCCAGGCTGGGAGCTGTCTCGGCGCCTGTGGGGGCCGGGGTTTCATCCCCTGTGTACTCTGGGCCTCCCAAACTGCACTGCATGGGTGGGCAGGTTGGCGACTGATACCAACAGGTGAGACAGGCCTGGAATAGTGCTGGGAGGTGGAAGGCAGCAGTGCGGCTGCTTGGAGGAAAAACTGGAGGAAGGATGCCCTGGGGCTACTTACCCCAGACTCTGCATGCAGATGAGGGGCTGGCTGTGGACTTGTCTTGAAAAAGGAGGTGGCACCCTTCCTTGTTAAACTGATGGGGATGTGTGGGTCCCAGTGCAGGAAGCATCATGCACCATCCTGTTGGGAGCATCCTCACCTCCAAGACGGTGTTTGGGCCTGGGGAGGAGACGTCCATGATGACACTCTCAGGGACAGTTTCCAGGGGATTTCTGAAGTCGGATGAGCATTTGTGGCACATCAGGTTTCTTCCACGAAGGCAGAGGGCCCAGGCAGGTGGCAGGCTCCACACTTTGAATCGGCCAATGGGACCCTCTGGTATTTTGATCCATTCATTCCTTCCTTCATCCATTCATCCAGCAAACAGTTATTGAACATCTATTGAGGAAAAACACCAAGTAAACAAAACAAAAAAAGTGACAATTTACTTAATTTAGTCTGATGGAGGGAAGATGGTGAGGTGGAGACACACGTGAGTTTTAGGAAGTTAGGGTCTGTGAGATGATGGGAAGAATCTTTAATGATCTGACTTTTGGGGTTGCTGACTAGGTGGAAGCTGCTCCCCTTAGCTGACAGTGAGGGGGAAGGAAGAAGAGCCGGTCATGATTGGATGAGGAAGAGTGGAGAGGATGAGGTCAGTGTGGACTGTGCAGATGGGGAGGTGCTGTAGCCCATCTAGATGGAGTTGTCCAGTGGGAAAATTGGTCGGTCTGTGCGGACAGGAGCTAGGGCTGGACCTGATGTTTAGTTGCATCAATAGGGGTGGTTTGAGGCCACAAGTTTAGGTTAAACAGAGTGTTAGGTACAGAGTGGCCTATCTGCTACAGGATGCCAGCTCTGATCCTGCAAACACAGTTGGAAACTAGAATGGCATAAAGCTTGATAAATCCAGGGAAGACTTTAAGCAGCGAAAGTACTCAACCAGAAATTCACCACTCAGATAAAATTTTCTTGTGTTTCCTTTTTAAAAAAAATTTTAGCATATTATGGGGTACAAGTGTTAAGGTTACATATATTGCCCATGCCATCCTCCTCCCTCGAGTAAGAGCTTCAAGCATGTCCATCCCCCAAACGTTGCACATCTTACTCATTGTGGTTGTATATACCCATCCCCTCCTCCCCCCTCCCACCTCCCGACACCTGATAAATGTTATTCCTATATGTCCACTTAGCTGTTGATCCGTTAATACCAATTTGCTGGTGAGTACATGTGGCTCTGGTTTTTCCATTCTTGAGATACTTCACTTAGTAGAATGGGTTCCAGCTCTATCCTGGAATATACAAGAGATGCTATATCACCATTGTTTCTTAAAGCTGAGTAATACTCCACGGTATACATAAACCACATTTTATTAATCCACTCATGAATTAATGGGCACTTGGGTTGTTTCCACAGTTTCGCAATTGTGAATTGTGCTGCTATAAATGTTCGAGTGCAGGTGTCTTTTTCATAAAAGTGAGTTTTGATTTTTTTGTGTAGATGCCCAGTAGTGGAATTGCTGGATCAAATGGTAGATCTACTTGTATTGCTTTGAGGTATCTCCATACTGCTTTCCACAGAGGTTGAACTAGTTTGCAGTCCCACCAGCAGTGTAGGAGTGTTCCTCTCTCTCCAAATACACGCCAGCATTTATTGTTTGGGGACTTTTTGATAAAGGCCATTCTCACTGGAGTTAAGTGATATCTTATTGTAGTTTTGATTTGCATTTCCCTGATGATTAGAGATGTTGAACATTTTTTCATGTTTGTTGGCCATTATTCTGTCTTCTTTTGAGAAGTTTCCGTTCATGTTCTTTGCCTGTTTTTGATAGGGTTGTTTGCTTTTTTCTTGCTGATTATCCTGAGTTCTAAATAGATTCTAGTTATCAACCCTTTATCAGATGTGTAGCTTGTAAACATTTTCTCCCATTCTGTGGGTTGTGTGTTTGCTCTCTTGACAGTTTCTTTGGCTATGCAGAACCTTTTTAGTTTGATCAAGCCCCATTTGTTTATTTTTGTTGTTGCTGTGACTGCCTTTGGGGTCTTCTTCATAAATTCTTTGCCTAGGCCAATTTTCAACTTTTTCCTCTAGAATTCTAATAGTTTCACACCTAAGGTTCAAGTCTGTTACCCAGTGTGAGTTGATTTTTGAGAGACGTGAGAGGTGTGGGTCTTGTTTCAGTCTTCTGCATGTGGCTATCCAGTTTTCCCAGCACCACTAATTGAATAAGAATTATTTTCCCCAGTGTATGTTTTGGTCTGCTTTGTCAAAGATTAGTTGGCTATCTGAGGATGGTTTTATATCTGGGTTCTCTGTTCTGTTCCACTGGTCAATGTCCCTGTTCTTGTGCCAGTCCAAAGCTGTTTTGATGACTATAGCCTTGTAGTATATTTTGAAGTCTGTTAAATTGATACCTCCTATTTTGTTTTTATTGCCTAGGATTGATTTTGCTATACGGGGTCTTCTCTGGTTCAATACAAAGCATGAAATTATATTTTCTATATCTGTGAAAAATGATGATGGTATTTTGATAGGGATTTCATTGCCTCTGTAGGTCACTTTTGGTAGTAAAGACATTTTAACAATGTTGATTCTGCTGACCCATGATAATGGTATATTCTTCCATCTGTTTAAATTCTGTGCTTTTTCCTTCTTCAGTGTTTCATATTTGTCCCTGTAGAGGTCTTTTACATCCTTACTTAAATATATTCCAAGGTAGTTTATTTTTTTGTTGTTGTTGCTATTTTGAAAGGAATTGAGTCTTTGATTTGGTTCTCAATTTTACTGTTATTGGCGTATATGAATGCCTCTGATTTCTGTGTATTGATTTTGTATCCTGAGACTTTACCAAATTCATTTATCAATTACAGGAGTCTCTTGGTTGAATCCTTGGGTTTTTCTAGGTATAATATCATGTCATCAGCAAAGAGTGAGAGTTTGATCTCTTCTGCTCACATTTGGACACCCTTAATTTTGCTCTCTTGTCTGATTGCTGTAGCAAACACTTCCAGCACTATATTGAACAGAAGTGGAGATAGTGGGTAAACTTGTCTTGCTCCAGTTCTAAGTGGGAAGACTTTTAAGTTTTCCCTATTCAGTATGATATTGGCTGTGGGTATGTCATATATGGCTTGTATCATTTTTAGGTAAGCCCTTTCTATGCCTATTTTGATGAGCATTCTTATCATAAAAGGGTGTTGAATTTTGTCAAATGCTTTCTCTGTGTCTATTGAGAGGATCATATGGACTTTGTTTTTGCTTCTGTTTATATGGTGAATTACATTTATTGATTTGTGTATGTTGAACCATCCCTGCATCCCTGGGATGAAGCCCACTTGGTTGTGATGGGTTATTTTGTTGACAAGCACCTTGATTCAATTGGCTAGGATTTTGTTGAGATTTTTGCATCTATATTCATAAGGGATGAAGGTCTGTAGTTTTCTTTTTTGTTGCATCCTTTCCTGGTTTTGGTATCAGGGTTATGTTTGCTTCATAAAATGTGTTGGGTAGAATTCCATCCTTCTCAATGTTGTGGAATAATTTCTATGGGATAGTCACCAGTTCTTCTTTGTAGGTGTGGTAAAATTTAGATGTGAAACCATCT